CCAGGTGAGCAGGGGGCTCTCCTGTATCCCCTATTGGGCCCCTGTGTGCCTACCCACTCACCTGACCCAGGAAATGAAGGGCTGGGGCCAAGAGGGTAGGACTTAGATGCCCACTCCTTGAAGAAGGGAGGATGGCACTGTGGCCTTGCTCACAGCCAGGGAAAATGGGAAGGACCTGGAGGGGGCTGTGGCTTTCCAGAAACTTCACAGATGCCTTAATCAAAGTCCCACTCTCAGGGGCTGGCCCCTGCAGGAGGGCCCTAACCCTAAGTGAAACCCTTCATCAACTGGTAGGTGCTCACCTGCGAAGGCTCGGGCCTCATCAGTGGGCACAGCCCGCAGGTGGCGCAGGTCACTCTTGTTGCCCACCAGCATGATAACGATGTTACTGTCAGCATGGTCCCTCAGCTCCTTCAGCCAGCGTTCCACATTCTCGTATGTCAGGTGCTTGGCGATGTCATACACCAGCAGTGCACCCACTGCACCTCGGTAGTACCTGTGGGGACAGGGGGCAGGGCCCAGGAATGAGCTGCCTGCCAGTGCCCCATGGGGGCCCCCAAGACTCTGAGGGCAGCAGTTCCTGGACCCACACAGAGCCCAGCCGAGAGGCGACCTCCATGGCCTTGCAAGAGGACTCTGTGCCCCAGGTTCAGTTCAAGACTGTGGGGGCCTATCCTAGCCGGTTTGGCTCAGTGGATAGAGTGTTGGTCTGTGGACTGAAGGATCCCAGATTCTATTCCGGTCAAGGACACATGCCCAGGTTGTGGGCTTGGTCCCCAGTAGGGGGCGTGCAGGAGGCAGCTGATCAATGATTTTCGCTCATCATTCATATTTCAATTTCTCTCTCCCTTTCTCTCTGAAATCAATAAAAAATATACATTAAGAAAATAAATAAAAAGGCTGTGGAGGCCTGAGGAGGGAGTTAAGGGCCTGAGGTCAGAAGACACCCACAAAAAGGGAGAAGGAAACCTTGCCTGTGCAGGAAAAGGGCTGCTGCTAGGCAAAAGCTCCAATGAAGAAGACTAATGGACACATATGCACCCTGAGGGATTAAAGAGATGAAGAGGTAACCAGGCTTTAGTGGAAGGCATTGAGAGGAAAGCGTGTGACTAATGGGGAAATGGCCAAGGGGTCTGGAAGGAGGCAGCTCCAGTAGGTCCTGATGGCTGGATGGCCACAGGGAGCCAAGGAAAGAGGAAGACTTGGAACATAGCCAGGTAGGGCAGGCCAAGCAGGGAGGACTGAGGGGTGGGCAGAGTGGAATGGCCCACTCCAGGGGTCAGAGGAGCCATTGGACGTGCCCACATGAGGTCACAGAGCGGTCAAGAGTAGGCAATGGTCTTCCGAGGGTCCCACCACTCCTGGGGCGGGGGGTCTCATCCCTCCACCCTGGGCCAAATCTCTCAGGGTTGCGCTCTCCCCTTCTCCTCCTGCCCAACTCCTACCCCTCCTTCAGAGCCCACTAGCCCTATGTCCAAGACCTACATTTCCTCATCCCTGCCACTCACGCGGAGGTGATGGCGCGGTAGCGTTCCTGGCCAGCGGTGTCCCAGATCTGCGCCTTGATGGTCTTGCCGTCCACCTGGATGCTGCGGGTGGCAAACTCCACACCAATGGTGCTCTTGCTCTCCAGGTTGAATTCGTTGCGGGTAAAGCGGGACAGCAGGTTGCTCTTCCCCACACCCGAGTCCCCGATGAGCACCACTGTAAGGGTGGGGAGGGATATAGGTACGGCTCCATGGGGCAGAGCAGGGCAGCCCACCAAGCAAAGACCCACATGCCACCCACGTCCACCTGCAGAACCTTCACAGCAGTGCCCCAGGTTCTTCGGAAATGTGACAGCTAACAACAGAGTGGAGTCAGAGCTGTCTAGAGCCGCTTGCCCAAGGCACCACATTTCTTGGTGCAGAAGCCAACAGTGGCTCCAGGTTTCCAGAAACACAGCCACTGCAGACAGCACAATACCCTTGCCTATGTCTGATCCTTCAGAGCAGGGCTGTTCCAGCTAAGGCATAGGGACCCATGCATCCTGGCAGGCAGGTAGCTTGGGAATCTATCAACCCCCAAACTTTCACTGCAGCCTGGAGGCCCAAGTAAGCTCTGGGGTGGGTGACCTTGGGCGAGTCACTTAACCTCTCTGGACTGCCTTTTCCATAGGTGTGAAAACAAAGACAGGAGCCAGTTTAGGGAAGGGGACACAAGAACTTGCAGGATCAGAACTCAGCCAGCATCCAGTCGGCTAGACAGGTGGAAAAGCAATTATTATTATTGTACCACCACGTTCCTACCGACAAGAATTTGGCTTCAGAGTTTTAAGTAACAGGAAATGAGAAGCCTCAGTCCCATCCCCACCCTGTTGCTTCTTCATGGAAAGTGGCTGCAAGCAAACCAACATTCAGCCCAACACAGCCAACTTGCCCATTCAAAAGAGAAATGTGCCCTCTGCATGGAATTAAGAGGGAATAGAGCCTGCTAACCTGCCCTTCAGCTAATTCCCAGGGTTGGACCATTCTGCAGGGACACCCAGGACAAGAGCCCTCCAGAGCAGGGCAAAGCAGTCCTGGTGGGTCTTTCCCATTAGGAGTGGGGCCACTCGAGATGATCCAGGAAGGTCCTAGGCCTGGGAAGGCTGGCCTCAGCCCCAGGGTATATTGGAGGAGAATTGTGTTTGTGTATGTGTACACATGCATGGGTGTATATGCAGCACAGAAGGAACAACACACAGCAGAGATCAGATGCCCCAGCTGGAAACCACATGGACCCCCAAGTATGGGCCTTGGGCTCTGGCATCTGAGCGTGGATCTGCCCAGTGGAGAGCTGTCAGCACTGCAAGCTTGGTCACGCTCGGGCCGATGAAAAATTTCTCGACGAAAAATGTTATGTGTGCATGTCCAGATTGCCCCAACTTCTTACCACTGTCTCTGCCCCAACCCTAGGTAATCCAGGCAGCCTCCTCCTTTCCCTGAGTTGCTGTGCCAGCCTCCCCTCTAGTGTCCCTGAGTTCACTCTCATCTCCAACCAACAGGCTGTTCTCCTGAGGCAGCCACCAGGGGGTACTTGTGAGCACCTGAGTCAGGTCCTGCTCCTCTTCTGCCCACAGACCTCCAGGGCTCCCACCTCCCTTGGGGTAAAAGCCTAAGTCCTCCCTAGGACTCACAAGGCCCTGCATGACTTGTCCCTGTCCCCTCCCTGCCCTCACCTCCTCTCTCTCCCCTGCTTGCTGACTCTGCCCCTGCCACACAGGCCTCCTCACTAGGACTCAGAGATGTGCAAGTGCACACTGCCTTTTGCCTGGAATGTTCTTCCCCAGGTACCCGCCTGGTTCCTACCCTCATCTCCATGTGGTGCCTTAGATGGCACTCAATCAAGGAGGCCTTCCCTGCAGTCCTCTTAAAACCCCTCTCCTCCAAAACTCGCCACTTGCACCCCCTGCCTTTCCTCCATAGCTCTTGCCACCCTCCCACACTTGCCAGGTTTCACTTATTTGTTTTTCGACAGTCTTCTTCAAGGGTATGATGGTCTCATTCCCTGCTGTATCCCCAGGCCCTGGCACAGAATCCCACACATAGGACAGAGTGAACAAACAAATTATAAAGTGGCTGCAAGAATAGGACGAGGGCCACTAGTCATTGCCCATATAAATGTTGGAAAGGCCAGGATGCCCAGGCACTCCCTGACACAGGTGCCCGCTGCAGAGAGGTGGCCAGCAGAGCAGTGGCTGGGTTGGCTCTATCAAAGGCACAAGCGATCTATTGTCTTGGGGAAATAAAGGGCCCTTGAGGACACGACCCCTAGCATTTCCACAGAAGTTGGTGGCAATGCTGGCCAGGAAATGGCCTCCCTAGACATGCCACTTGGCTGGCAGGGCAGGCAAGCCTAGTTGGCAAAAACAAAGAACTGGCACCTCTTGAAGGCCTGTGTCCTCTGGCCTGCCCCATAACAGTGTAGCACCACCAGGGCCCACACTCCGATGCTCAGGCAAACTGAGTGGCCATTTGGCTGGGGAGCACGCTCCCCTACTTCAGGCAGAGCAGAGTCCCATCTCTCCTCCAGGAAGCAGACCCTGATTATCCAGGCTCCAGGGGCCAGCACTTGGGAGCAATCTTACCAGAGCTAGTCCCCTGGAAATTAGAGAACAAAGAAGAGGTGTTTGAAGCTGGGGCACAGGCAGGGCCACCATCTGCAATGGGAGAAGACGGTGTGCTTGGTTCTGGGACCAGTGGGCCTGGTGGAGTCCTGTACAGGTGGCAGAGCCAGGAGGCTGCCTTGGGAGCACTTGGCAGAGAGAGGTGAGCATTGGGGCTGGCAGTCACTCTCTCCTTGCCCCCTTCCCCAAAAGTACTCATAGATGGGGCAGGGGTGTAAACAACCCAAAGAGGCAGGGCTCTGGCCACCGCGGAAGCTTCC